AGGTAGAGCTGTTTGAATGCACATTTGTAGTCGCTATCGAAGCTCACAGCGGAAATGATTGAGACAAAATGTCTCCAAAGCCTTGGGCCGAACCCGTTACATTTTTGGCGTTGGGCGAAGACGGGCTGAGGCGAGAAGCGCGATGCCGCGGGCGAGGATCACACAGCCGCGTAACCATCAAGACAAAAATTGATCGAAACACCACCGCACCACCGAGCATTGATTTGCGTGTGTGGGTGCGCAAGGTGTGAGCAGCGTGCAGACTTTGCGATGACGCGCCGCAACATGTAGAGCAGGATGACGCGCTAAAACGGCAATGGCGTTACAGTGCTATAGACTGGAACGCAGACTGGTATTGATTCGAGCCGGCCGCTAGTGTGTTGGGAGAGTCTGGAAGAGTGAGAGGTTGTCATACTTTGTGAAAGCAGAACCTTCCCTCCTGCTATTCTACACTCCCTCAAGACACAAGCTGCCGTTGCCGATCGATACCCGTCTACGACTGCGTTGCTGTATGTAGCACTGGAGCGCCAATGCCAAGGTAGTGCGTCCACGCGCGTTATCTTGAAGTCTGAACGTGCCGAAGAGACGCGACTGTGCCCAGGTTACAACCGTCGCCGTCTTCACCAACCGCTCTACCAATCGCTACCAAAGGCCATTAACCTAGCCGACTGTATACCAGAAAATCCATCCTCTATCTACAAAGCAGCCGCGGAGTGAGTATTTGAATTATTGAACTAGCCAAAACTAACCTGGATCAGTAGCCGCATAGATTCCGTGACCAGTAAAGCTATGAAGCAAATATGACGACTGAAAAAGAATTTTTCCCTGATTGTATGAGTTTCAATATGTAGGGAAAAACCAAATCCACTGGGAGCTGGAGGGAACACATTTTCGTCCCGCTGGCTCATACGTAGACTGCCCTGCGACGAGAATTATTCCAAGCCTACCTTTCTACACTCGTTTACGTTAGCCGTCCATTGAACGGTATCCCATCCAGAAGTGCTATTCCAGTGAGACTCACGTATGTCACGTTGGTCGGCGGTCAAAATCGGGAAGCTGTAATAACACTATTAGTATAGCAGTAATATAGTATAGCATCGTAGTATAGTAGTAAGTTTCATTATTAATGTAGTAGTAATATACTATAGTAGTAGGAAAATATTTAATATCCAGCACTGATGAATGATCACTACATGTTGGAACCAGGGTACAGCATCGTGATGTGTGAAATGGTGGTGTCAGTACGGCCCTCCCCCTTCCCCAACACCTATCACCTTATCTACCAAATTCGTACAAGTTCCCAGCTTCCTACCAGCTCTTCCCAAGTTTCTCAAATTTTCCTGTTTTTCCACCCATCCACCCAAAGATTTTCCGCTGAGCGGGGAATATAGCCAATGTGAAACGGCAAAAACCGCAAAAAGTCAACAAAAGGAAAATTTTCCCCCAACGCGGCAAATTTCTCTCAAAGGCACATACGACTCCCCCTCTTCCAATAACGACCAAATAAGACCCCTCCCCACCTCCGCAGCGGCCAAGTACGACCCCCATGGTTTCACACAACAATGCTGTACCCTGGTTGGAGAGCAGGCTTCCTTTGCAGGCTAGGAAAAGCGCTAGGCAGTAGTGGAGGTTTAACATGTACAAAGATTTGTCCCATACTGCGGCGTAAGAGATGGCGTGTCTATCAGCTGTGCCCGCAACGGCGGCTGCTTGTTTAAGGAGCTAAGAAATTTCGCAGATCAAGGGCGCTGGTACTCCTCAAAGATTTGGGTTGTCATGGTCTTCTCTGCTGCCTGCGCTCTCACATGTACACGTTGTCTTCACCTCCCTTCTGCTTTGGACCAGCAACATTCTATCAAAACACAACACGGCTCAGTTTGTCGACGAGTGGCTTCTAGCTTTTCCCGTAGATGTGCCAACCCATCTAGATAGCCTTTTCTCGAGTTGACACGTTTTAGGATGGTAGCTAGACGATCTTGCTCCAGCTTCACAAGCGTTCACAAGTTTTGACAAAGGCTGAGATATATTCGTAAACCCGAACTAGGGAAGCAATGCTAGTACAAAATGCCCCCCCCCTCGACAAACAGCGCCCGCATCAACCGCGCTCACAGCCAGATCCGTGGATTCGCCCTCTCCAGCGCCAAGGTAGGTGACACACTCTGCTCCCACCCTACGATTGTGAAGAGGGGCCTCTGCCTCACCGAGACCCGAACATCATATTCCAGGTTCCCGAACCTCCAATTAACCTCTATTAGAGGAGCTGAAGTAGACTGAGTATTAGGTTGTTTTCTAAAAAGATCCTGCGACATTATTGTTTGAACTATTCTAGAAAAAGACCAAAAATCATTTTGGATGTTTTTATCTCTGATTAGTGGAGAATGTCTCCTGAGGTTTCTGAAAATGGGTATATCATGGCTCCGTGGAAGTTTTCAAAGCTTAAAAATACCTCAGAGATCGAGGTACTTCTCGACCTATCCCATATTATGAGTTCCTGTAGGGCAACTCCGCCATAGTCGAGGAAGCTAACACTTACGTTGTCTTGAGGAAGGATATCGCTTGCCATAGCAGAGAGTTCCTTTTGCATCAGCGCTTCCAGGCTGGACTTATTCAACTCGGAAGTAGGCAATGTATAGGTCGGCCACCAGCACAGAATGACGGCCCTTTACTCAAGCTTCTTGAGGCGCAGCCGAACGTAACCACCAGTAAGTTGGCAACCTCTCTAGGCTCCACCTAACTGACAACTGCCATGCTTCTCCGCAGTCTCGGTTATCGGAAAAAATTTTTATGAAGGATGCCTCATGAGTTGAACCCCTCTGACAAGTCATACCGAATGACCGTGACTGAGTTTTTTTTTCCTTGTACACACTGGAGGAACATTTGTGAGATCTTGTGGTTGGTAGAGAGTGGTGGGGTCCTTGCGTACATCTTGCACATGTTCCTCGCAGGATCTCTCAGAGAGAAAAGTAGATTGCACAGCCAAAAGCAGATGTGCATGGGATAAAGATTTCAGTAGGTTATTGGTGCGGATCTCCAAAGCGGTATCTGCTGCAATATAGCCATACGGCTAAGTGATTACACTGTTTTTGTTTGATAACTGCTGTTTTACGCCGCAGTGCGCGATACGAAAGTTATCACAAGAATGCTGAGTTGTGGGCAAAAGTCGGACCACGGGCGGGACTCGAACCCGCATCTTCTGCTTACGGGCAGTTGCGTTACCACTTACGCTACCGGGCCACTTTTGACCTCTCAGCTCAATGGCTAGGGCAAATGGCACAATATAGCCATGATGGCACAAATGCCATTGACGCCTGAGAGGTTCAAAAGTTGGCCCCGTTAGCGAGCGTTAACGCAACTGTTTCTACCGGTAAGCAGCAGCAAGATGCGAGTATGCGAGTCCCCGTGGTCCGACTTTTGCCCACAACTCAGCATTCTTGTGATAACTTTCGTATCGCGCACTGCGGCGTAAAACAGCAGTTATCTAACAAAAACAGTCTAAAACTTGTAAAAAGCCTTCAGCCTTGCGGTTCACTGCCGATATCGGCTAACCGGCTCATCACGTTGAACGCTCGCTGAGTCTCGGACAGGCAATGGCACAAATAGCCATTGAGCTGAGAGGTCAAAAGTGGCCCCGGTAGCGTAAGTGGTAACGCAACTGCCCGGTAAGCAGAAGATGCGGGTTCGAGTCCCGCCCGTGGTCCGACTTTTGCCCACAACTCAGCATTCTTGTGATAGAGGCGATTAAGTCCACTATACCGCAACCTCACACACATGGGATGACGATCACGTCCTTGAATTCTTCAAATACTCAATTCTTTCTCTACGTCGGCAATGCGCAAGACCGACCATGTTCAGGCAATCAGGCCACACCCAAAGATCGTGCGATTCTTGCATCTAGAGACATTGCCCGAACCATTACCCAGCTTATTTCAATTCAAATCGTTAGCAGTCTCCTCTAACCCTGTACCATTTTGAATCCTCCACATCCTCAACATGGAAAAAATCCAGAAAAATCCGACGTTACTCAAAAATTGAAAGTCCACCCTTTTTCTTCTATAATCATAGTTGCCGTAGGTCCTATCAACAATGCGGAAATGAGGAAGCTGTGCAAAAGAAGCGCCCGCATCCTACCGAACTAGTCCTTAGTGGTGATTACCTTGTAGATTGGAGATGTCTTTTAGTGACTGAAAATTTAGTCCGAAAAATTGGTCAAAGTGTCGCAGGACTTTTCGAACAACCTAATACCTTGAACACCCCTATTTGCATTATTTTCTTTTCACTACAAAATGGCCAAGGAAACTCAGATCTAAAGAATATACCTGATACGTGGTTTTGCTTTGCATGTCACTAACGCTTGTACATGTCGAAGGTCGCCTTTCTCTAAGATTACGGAGGTGTCCATGTACCAAACAGCTCCATAATCTCTAAGTGCCTCCTGAAATGAAGCATTTCCGGGATAACTGCGTTCTGAACTCAAAATACCATCACGATGCTAGATATGGCATGATAGATATCCCACATGTAACTGATAACTCAAAATTTCCCCGGCTAGTATTTCTTGTTATCCATGATCACTCCAACGTGTAGTATTTTCTTTCCTCTCTAGGAAAATTTGCGTCGGAATCTGAATTTTTCCCAGACGTCTGCAAAGGGGTTAGCTAATATACCCTTGACAAAGGGCATTTGATCGTTTTGGGGAACGTGACGACTCGCAATATGGAAAGGTATAACTTCGAAGGCTATCTCTCTTGGCCGATATATCCCGAATAACTCGAAGATAATGAGGGTATGGCTGCTTACTATATCCGAATGTGGGGTAGGATGCATTTTTCGTGAGACATTTTCACTTGAGACAACTGTCACTTTTGCCTTGCGCTTGTCAAAGACAAGAGTGCCATTGTTCCCAAAGGCAATATGCCACCAAAAGCGCGGTCACCACCATATGCAAGTGATGGGCTGCTCAGCCACGCCCACCCCATTTCTGGGTTATGAAGTGTATTTAATCAGGCAGTTGGCACGATGGTTTGCTACAACGACTCGAAGTGAAGCGAACACAAAGAACTTACTGCTATCACAATCGGTTTCCATCGAAATGTGTGTAGTTGTTCAAAATATGAGGGATAGTCTTCAAAACGAAATCGACGATATACAACTTGACACCATCGCTTCACTCGCACAGCACCTTTCAAGGGTGAGCCCTAGGTCGTACACAACGATTGTAGCCGTTTTGTGATACTTTCTGATGCTAGCAATCTGAAATTTGTCAATAAAAACACTTTCAATTAACAAACCCCACCCAAGGGAAAAGAACACAATTAGCGGAGTGACTTCCTAGCCATTTTGAAAACTAATTACAGCTTGTCATTACCGAGGGCACTTATCTTTCTGGATGGAAACTCACTAGTCTTTTACCCTCCATGAAATGCGACTGAGAGAATGCGGTGACGAATACTGGATTGAGATCATCACTGATGTCTATAGAAGTAGCATCTAATAAACCTGCAAAAAAAACATTTTTTACAATATTAAAGGTCTTGTAGCCAAAATTATGTAGGACTGCTGGGGAGCAAGCTTCGAATACCAGAGAGCCATCGAATACCGCGAACTCTGCGGCAACGATAAAAGCAAAATCCCTCAACCGAGCTACATTGGGACATTTTATTGTGTGGGTTTAGGACTAAGGCTAAGAAGGTGAAATTTAGTAGAATTATGTCACCCTAACTGCCACATCTATGCTAGACGTCTTGCAGGACACTGGTGAATCCCCGATTCAAGCCAAAAATCTACGGCTTCAACAAACTGGCCACTTTCATTTTTAAGCTGTTCCATTTTCCTGGCTCTCTTTTTACCCCAAAATGAAACCATAAAACTGTTGAGCAGCACCACATATACAGCGCACCCTTAATTAAATGTGCTCCCATTTTCCCAGAAAAGAGCCTGGAGCATTTGGTCCAGACTAAGAATATCGTTTTGCAGTTACCGAATTCCAAGGCATTAATGGAGTGCTATGTGGAAGAGCACAGTTTTGATGAGAGTCATTTCAAAATACTCACGATGAGTAGTAAACCATCAGAAAAAGGGGATGATGCTGGCGTGGCATTAAGCCCGTTTACCATGCGCGAAGGCCCAGGATCTAATCCTGGCTCGACCTTCACTCGAATCAACCAAGGTTTTCCTAACCATAGCCACTAGTTTCGCAGTGTCGTCTGAGAGGATAAAAACACTGATTCTTACAGTCTCGAGAGCTGCGGATACCTGGGATGTGATAAGGGAACTGGGTTTGGCGCGACGCCAGCCCGCCTCCCACCGATTGT